ATTGTTTATAATTACTGGAGAATCCAGAGAGATCAAATCTGCCTCAACATTGATCAGAAAAGGAGTCCGCAAGAGTAAGAGCAGAGATTTAGCTGCTGCTTCTTGCGATAGTGACATTCTTGTGTTGTCTGATGATGAAAGAAGCTCAACCGCAAGCGATGATCTTAATGACAAAAGTAACTTCTTGATTACAAGTTCTAATGTAATGGCCAAGAGGCCAAAGACGACATTTTAATGAAGATAAATATCAGCAGATTATAAAGAAGATTCTCGTTCTCTTGCTCCATTATGAAACAGAAGTATCAAAGGCTTGTTTGTTCACTCGACAAAAAAGAGAAAAAAAAAAGAATTTACTGGGAGGATGAAAACAGAGAGCTCATACAATCCTTTTAATACAAAAAGAAACAGATATTGTCCATTCGATGAAGCTGTGTAATTTTCTGTTCATATTCACACGTCGTCTCTACTCCGATGCTCCAAGAGCAATTGTTCCAACTCTTCCCTGCGTCGTTCTATCTCCTGCAACAACAAGGGGTCAATGATTTAGAAAGCCATTTTTAGGAATATTGTGATAATGCAAATAGAGTATGAAAGCTCTATGAAAGTAATCTAATCAATACTTGCCTGGAGATCCTTGACGGCTTGTTCTCTTGAAACTTCCTTCTGCTGTCGAGCACGCTTCAGAAAGCCGATGCATAGAACTCCCTGAAGTTCAGACAACCAATCAATGATTGATAATAAAAACATAAACGGGAACAAAGATATTGCCACAAGCAAAGGGAAGTTGTTGCAAACCAAATCAAGCACAGGTAGATGCAACCACGACAATTACCACAAACTAATATGAAAAAAAAGATTCAACAATACGCATATTTGATACTAATTTAGGGTGAAATGTGAGATATCGTACACATATGACATAGATAACACCACAAGAAAGGAGCATGTAGCTTGCGATATTCTGTAGAAGCAAGAGATCCTTCCTTTGAGCAGTATAGTCAGGGAAAGCTCTTGTCATCACAGCAGCACTGTAAAATGACCAAAAGCCAATATACATAAAAACACACAAAATCTTAAAAACAACCAAGAAATTGTCTCATTCTTGAGTTTCAGATCACTAAATTTGACCACCCCATCGCCTTAAATCCATCAATCACTTCCAAAACAAGAAGTGGAAAATGAGGTTACAACTTACAAAATCTGAAGCATTCCTCTACCGGCCCAGAATTCAAGAACCTGTGTAATGAAAAAGAGTAGAGGAATTATCAAAATTAGGTAAGTGTAGAAAGT